GTTGGGGGCGTCTGGCTCGAGGTGCGGGCCGAGCGCTGCCGATTGGGAGCGGAGGGAAAAATAGAGAAGAAAATCCTCAGCGCAGGACGTTAAGCGCAGAAGTTGGGCGGATATAAAGCGGCGGGGACTGACCGATCCGTCCTGCGGCGCCGCGACGTGTGTGCCCGCAGGACGCTGCCAAGTTGTGGAGAGAGGAGACGGCCGGAGCCGCGTGTGAGAAGAGGATGAGCAGCCGTGACTGGTATCGTCAGAAATGGCCTTTTAGTGAAGAAATTGCTTAAATTTCAGTTCTCTGGTGTATCTGGCTCGTGTCAGTGGTTTTCGGTGTGGTTTCACTTACTTTACAGAGAGATAAAAACGTACTGTAGGCAGTGCCTGTAATTGAGTTAGCAGTTAATAGTGCTTATAAAGAATGCACAGTTGGTGTAGGTTAAGGAGAAGATGAATGATGCCCACATTGCCTTATCTTTTGCCTTAAAATGACTGAATGTTTATGGAAAATGTAAGATCATTTTCTGGTTGATACTTAACAATAATCTTGCATTAAAAATAACCTTTTTTTTTGTTCCTAAATAAATACTTATTTAGTGCCGATGGTGATGTAAGAGCAGTTGTTACAGGCTTATGAGTAAAGTTTAAAAACAGTTGTTAATCAAGCAGGCGACGATGGCGGAAGCTACTAAGTTGTGTCCATGCGTCACTGTGTGTCCTCCTGCTGTGACCCTCTGGAAAGACTCTAGTTATACACATAGTGAAACAGGCTTTCTTCTGAGGGTGCTGCAGACACTTCTGGTTAATCAGTTTATTTTCCTATACTAAATAAGTATGGAATGCCATTATTTCTTAATCTTTTAAATATAAAGGCTAGTTCATTAGTTTTTAATAATATGCAAAGAATTAATGTTGCTGCAACTGACAATTTTCCTTTCAGGTGAGATAAAAATAAGCTAAGAAAACTTCAAGTTTTAAAACCCGGATTTTTAAAAAATAAATCTTAAGTTTTCTGATCTTAACTCTTGCATTATAAACTAGGATGAACTTTGTATGGGAAATATGAATATCGATCCATTCCCATTCTTTGGCACTGAAAAGTGGAAGATAAGACTTAAATTAATGCCAGCTTTTTATTGGCATGGAAGTCTGGTTACCGAGTTCATCTGGAGTTTCTGATGTGTATCTGCCATGTGACAGGGATACCTGTGTCTTAGCTGGGGTCAGCGAAGGGCCACTGCTTGTTCATCCCTCTTGCACGCCAGTCTGAAAAGGCTTAGGAGGATTTGGGTGCTCACTACGTGGAGGTTTCTTTCTACTATGTCTGCGATGAATTTTGCTCTTCAAATACCTATAGAACTAGATTAATGGATGTAGATTGTTGCATATGTGTTTTAGTGCCTGCAGTGTTATGCGTAGTGCAGCTTTAAAGAAAAATGACTGACGCTGCTCGATTGCCACTGGCTTTGAAATGCTTGTAATGTCAGCTTATGGCAATGAAAGTGAAATACCAGGTTTGGGTAGGTTGGAGAGGTGCTTCTTAAGGAACATACACGAACTTGTTAGGGTAAAACATGTTTAGTCCTGTGCTATTGCTTCTCAAAGCTGTTTTCTAGAGTAAAGGCTCTTCCTTTCATACTCAGTGGCTGGGACAAAGAATTTCTAGAGTATCTGCAATGGCTGTGTGTTAAGTTCCCACAAACATACCAGCATAACACCATCATAAATGGTGTTCAATTTGGAGAAAATGAGTAAATTTAATGTAGAAACTGGTCTAGTTACTAATGGTGGTGCTTTCATTCCTGTATTTAGGTGAAGTTTATGTTTTGCATATGTGGTGAAAGTTTGACAGCGGGAGCAAGTCTCAAATACAATTGTTTAATGTCTTTATGCTGTGTAAAAAGATAATGTTCTAGACCAAAAAACCAGAACAAACAAAAATATGATGAGAAATGACGTTTAAAGGAAGTTGTATCACTCAACTTCCTTCCCGAAGGAATCTGGTGCACTTCTGTTTGATATTTTGTACAGTAATTTTCAGTGAGCCACCTGACAGTGATTAAACACTTGACCTAAACAGCTTGTGGTCCGAATTCCAGCTTTAAGTAGAAAGTTCACCTCCTGATAGAACATCCAGTACAAAGTACTTTGAAGGATAAAAAGTAGAAATGTAATATTTACATATATTATTTAGACATGTTTTTGTGGTATTTCATTTTATGATTAGATGGTATGAATCAAACCCAACATCCAATCAACATTAAATAAGTTTATTTGGAGCTATTTTCCTTCTGTTAAACCTTTCGCAAGACAGTAAAACAGCAGGTCTAGGGAGAGTTTGAAAGACAATTACTGGATAAACCTGCCAATTTTTTTCTATGAAGTTCAGTGTATTACCTTGAAGCTGGAAGGGCTAGATGGGTAAACAAACCCAAAGTAATACAATACACGAAGTAATAAACTTAACTTTACCAGAAACAGTGACCTGCTGTCACTGCGAGTCCTATAGAGCTGAGTTAGTGCTGAAGAATATTGCACTGGGGCAGCCCTGCTCTGAGGAGGATAACCTGTGTTGCTGTCTCTCTCCTTTTCAACTGTCTTTTACTAGTCAATATTCTGGGTGCCTAGGATTGGCTGTTAGTCTCTTCCTTCTTTAATCTGCTTTGCTATTGCATTATCTCCTCAAATTCCTTACCCTTTTGGTTTCGTGCAGAACTCTGCTAGAAAAGGAGCTATGAAAGCAAGTTCCTTGCACTGGCTTTTGCCTCTTGAAAGGAAATCTTACCTACTTTGGTTTGCTGTTGAGAAGTGGAGATTATTGGGCTTGTTATAGACGTTCCTGTATTGAATTCCTAATGCCCGGGGAATTCACGCAACATGCTTTTGGGATGATGACAGATGGAGTGGAGTAGCTCTTTAGTAGCAAGTCACGTATGATTTGGGTTTTAAGATACTATCCTCCTTTTTTTCTTTTTTTCTTTTTTTTTTTTTCTCCTTGTAAATGTTTTCAGGCGGGAGCTACTTCCATGTGGGCTTCCTGCTGCGGGCTGCTGAATGAAGTCATGGGGACTGGAGCTGTTCGTGGTCAACAGGCTGGCTTTGGCGGAGGGACCGGCCCGTTCAGGTTTGCCCCAAACGCAGACTTTTCAGCTTATCCATCTCCCACTGCTGGAGGAGCGAACATTGTTTGCAAAGCCTGTGGACTTTCCTTTTCCGTTTTTAGGAAAAAAGTGAGTATACTTGCTGTTATGTAATATTTTTACTCATATCAACTAATGTAAAGGCGTGTTAGGAGATGAATATATATCTTTTTTCCTCAGATGGGGAAAGCCAAGGCAGATAGCCAAGGAGAGAGTAAGTGCCTTGTTCTGAGGTCACAGGAAATTAATGTCAGACAGGATTAGAAGTTAAGAGGTCTAATACATCCCATGCCCATTAATCAGTGACACGTTAGAGCTCGTCTGACCTACAAATTAATTGATTCTTATTTGTAAGATTCATGTTTTATTTTTAGAATCTTGAATATTAAAACAAATCTTCCAGTGCTTTTGAAGATGATATCAAATGTAATTGTTGACTATTGGAATGAATAAACTGGATGATGGAAAAGCTAAAAGCTCACAGTTCTGTATTACAACTCCCTTCCGTTAAATACTAACATAGTTCTGTTTGTGTCCTAACCAGGGTTAGTTCTGTGAAATGCTATTACACCCTTTGGAGCCAGGTTGATGAGTTAATGAGGCTTCCAAATAAATAAAATTCAAGCTGTTACAATTATTTCCATTAACATGATTGTCCAGCATTATTACCTTGTCCACTTAGTGACTTAGTTTCTGTGGCTCATTTGGATAAAACTGAAGCCTTTTTCTTCTTATGTTCAGTTTCCCCTTTCTTCTTACTGCAGCACTCTGTTATTTGCACAGCAAGCACAGTGTAGGGACACTTTCTGAAGGGAATATTAAAAAAAATCCTGAAAGACGAAGAGGAATTTGGGTTTGTTCACAGTGGATGAGAAAATCATTGTAAATTGCAGCTGAAAAGCCTGCCTATTCTAGCTTCTGTATGTTGTAAATCTTTTGAACAAAGCTCTCTTCAGAACTGACACCTGGGCAGTTAAGGAGTATTTACCTGCTGTCTGGATCTTCACATTTAAGACTTAAAAAATATTTAAGTCAACTGAGGGAAAAAAAGTATATTCTCTTAAGCTTGGAGGGATTATACTCTTATTATATGCTTGTGAAAAAAAGCAATGACAGCGTATTCAAAACTATTTTAGCATACCATAAAATGATGTAATTACCAGGTAAACTACAATTTAAGTACTTTATAGTGTTTTATTCATTAAGGCCTCAAATCAGCTTTCAGTATTGCTCCAAAAGCTTCATAAACCTTGAACACTTGCAAAACTATTTGACAGGGCAATTTTACATACTTAACAATTTTGGTATCCATCATTTTTAGGAATTGATTGAAAGCCTAGAATCAATAATAAGTGATGTAGCCTGAAGAAGGAAAGAGCAGCCTATAGATTAGTTTTCTGCATCAGTAAATACCTCACATAGAGCTGACTGGTTATTTTGTCTTTCTGCTTAGCACGTGTGTTGTGACTGCAAGAAGGATTTTTGCTCCGTTTGTTCGGTCTTGCAAGAAAATCTCCGAAGATGTTCCACTTGCCACTTATTACGAGAAACAGCGTTTCAGCGACCACAGTTAATGAGATTGAAAGTAAAGGATCTGCGTCAGTATCTGATTCTCAGAAACATACCCACAGATACTTGTAGGGAGAAGGAAGACTTGGTGGATCTCGTGCTGTGCCATCATGGATTAGGTTCCGAGGAGGATACGGACGCTGGTAGTTTGCATTCTTCACAGTCACAGACTTCTGCTTTTTTTACTCATCCATTTTCTATGTCTGTATCAGTGTCTTCTCAAGGAGAATTTGCAAACAGAAGAGGAAGCACAGGAAACGGAACACCTTTACAGGTACAATTACTTGAATGTGTTTTATGATTTTGTTTGTTTTTAATAAAATGCTTTGAAACCAGCCAAAACACCCATTGGGGTGGTTTGAGGTGATAGACAAGAATCCCTTTCTATATCTCTGACATAAAAATGGAAGATTACTAGCAGATTAGATGATAGCAGCGAGTTAAATCCATGATGATAGGATAGCAACAGTTGAAGCCTTAAAGTATTGCTGTCATCTGAGTTTGGTAAAGAAAATATTGTAGAATGAATAGATTTTTTTATATATACTAATTGATTTCTTCCTATGCACAGGGACAAACTGAAACATCTTTGGTAACCAATGAAGAAGAAGAAGAAGAAAGTGCAGAGGAACAGGTGAGGGAAGAACTATTCAAAGAATATATTTTGGCATGTGAGACCATGAAGTACTTCAGCTGTTTCAGAATTTGGCATTTCTAAAATCAGATATTTGTAAATCGTTGCTTTAAAGAGAATAAAACTTTGGCCAAGTTGCAGCTTAATGTAATCTGTAGCAAAGCAGAACAAATCTGGTGCTCTGCAACTGCTAGGACAAATTGTTAAGAACATAAAATTGGTGTGTTTCAGACCCCAGGGTTGTCCAGAAAGCGAACGAGGGCGTCGTTGTCTGACATTTCAAGTCCGGAAGACATTGAAGGGTTGAGTGTTCGGCAGCTGAAGGAAATACTTGCATGTAACTTTGTCAACTATTCAGGATGCTGTGAAAAGTGGGAACTTGTGGAGAAAGTGAGCAGACTATACAGAGAGAGTGAGGAAAACAACAAGACACGTAAGTATTCTCACTTTCTTAAAACGACTTTTCTGGTCTCAGGTGGCTAGTTCTGCCAACAGAAGGGCTTCTTGGCACCTTTGTTTCAGTGCCTTGCTGGAATAATTGGAAGTTTTTTTTTTTTTTTTTTTTTTAACAGCTTGAGCTGCTAGTACTTGTTAGGAATTAAGGTTTCATGGATTGTGTTGCTTTCTGAGAGCTTTTTTCCCCCAAAGCTCAGACACCTCAGCTTTTAGAACAAAGGTAAATTGCACAACTGAAAACCAGTTCCTTGGACAAATGCCGGGCGCATCCAGGCCCTTAATTAGGTTTCACAAGGTATTAGTGGGAGAGCATCTGCATTAGCTTTCTCCAGGCCAAAGGAATTCAGGTCTTTTACTGTAGTACAGAATTAAAAGACAGAATGGCAGAAATCCAAGTCCAAGTGGTTTGGTCTAAATCCACGTTTCCCTGATAACAGCGGTTCTGTGGCTGCAGCTGAGTGACTAGTAATCTCCTAACCTTTGTTACACTGGATTTCAGTCTTTAAGCTGTAAACTGATTCCTGTGAACCAAGTATAATTTGATAAACATCTCTTTGATGTCATGACAAGCTCAGGAAATTCCTGCCTGGCTGTGCACTCCTGCAGCTGGTCACTGCTGCTGTTTTGTGCCGTGAGGTGGTAGAGATCAGGGAACTGCGGAGACTGGAAAACTTGCCCTGGGCTCCTTTGCAGCCAGATTGTGATTGCACCAGTGTTTTAGTTGTGAGATGCAGGTGAGAAATAAACAGCTAATTGGGTGGGAAACCAGTGCAGTAAGGGCTTAGAAGATGGTGGCCTGTCTTGCCACACTGTCTTGAATAGGGCTGCCGAGTGTCAAACCAGGGCTTAAGTGAGACTTGGGCCTGCTAACTAGAAATCTAAAATCTATCTGAAATCAAATTTAGAATTTTTTTCCATGGTGGTCTTACAGAATATATATGGCTGAGAAATGGACATGTTGTCTATTTTTGGTGAAACTTGGCAGGCTTTCTTCACGTCTGTCATCTTTACAGCTTACTTGATTAACGCTTCCACTTCTTAGTTTGCCTTACTCTCTACTCTGATGTTTAATCTTCTGATGAACATATTCTTCCACATGAAGTAAGCTACAAGATGAAAAAGCAGCATGCTCTGAATTTTAATCCTGCACACTAGTCACTGTTGCTAAATTTGGAGACCATTTCCAATCCTGAGGTTAAAGAATGAAGCCAAATCTTGGGTGTTTGCTTGGGGGAGGGGTTAGTGATATTTGTTTTTTCAAGGATACGTAATAATTCTCAGCGAGGCGCCTGTGGGCTAGAAGAGCTCACGTCCAGGTGCTGCCGAGCGCATTTACGCTCAGCTGGGCTGTCTCTAAGGGGTGTTTGGGCCAGAACTTAGGAGGGTCTGCGCTGCCCGGCCTCATGCCGTGTTGCTTTGCAGAGGGGGAGAAGATGCAGCTGAATGACAACGATGACAACCTGTGTCGGATCTGCATGGACGCCGTGATCGACTGTGTCCTGCTGGAGTGCGGCCACATGGTCACGTGCACCAAGTGTGGCAAGAGGATGAGCGAGTGCCCCATCTGCCGCCAGTACGTTGTGCGAGCGGTGCACGTGTTCAAATCCTAAGCGCAGACCCGAACGGGTTTGACGGCCGGGATTTCTGTGAGCGGGAGCACTGAAGCTGGGGGCGCGGGGCAGACTTTAGTTCTCAGAATAAACCCTAACATTTGGAACATCTGGACACAGAGACATTTGTGAATGACTTCTCTACAGTGTACTTAAACTGGCAGTTGGGCAGTATGAGGCCCCTGTGTACAGTAACAGAGCTGCCTAACCTACCTTATAAAACCACAAACTGTTCAAGTCAAACTGTTTACAGCTGACCTAAACTCACTTCTTGCTCTCTTCTGAAGAATATCACCTCTAATTACTGCATTAAGTATTTGAGAAGTGGTCAGGAGAACACCTATACTTGACCATGCTGTTAGACTATTACACTGTCTAGTGCATTAGAAGCAATGAATTTATCAGTTGTATATTCAGCTTTTATGTAATTAAATAGAGAATGTAACTGTTCTGACACTGTTTCTGCAACAGCGTTAACAGTCTATAAAATAAGATTGTAGAAAGCACTGCCATTAACTGTACCTGCACAGCAGTTCCTAGGCAATCTATTTTTATGCCAATTGCTCCCTTGTAAATGTCTGTCTTTAGCCGTGTATCATCTGGGCCCTTCTTTGTAATTGTGCAACAAGTGCAGTCATCCTGCAGGGCTCTGTCTTGGGGCGTCCAAACACACCTACGATTTTCATGTTTGTTTAGGAATAAGATTTTTTTTTTTAAGGGGTATTAAAACATACTCTTATGGTCCTTAAGTCATCCATGCCTACTGTAACCGTATTAATCTTACACGCAATGATTGTACTTCATGTGCTGGTAACCTGATGTTACTGTGAATACTGATCAGGGTCATGAAACTACTTGCTGCTAACCTCTGGAATGTATGGTACTGCTCACCTGACCCGCGGAGGGGGAGCAGGGATCAGGGAAAAGCAGCACCAGCTTTGTTTAGAATGTGTAACCGAGGCTGGGCCACTAGTAAACGAACTTCCACTTACGTTGCCGCGTGACCCGTGCGCAACCCTGCGCTGCTGCAGTTGGTTTCCAGTCGGACGTGGCACCGGGAGGAGCGTGAGCAGCTTCTTGAAGTGAATCCGAGGTCGGTGCAGGGGCTCCCTCCTGGCTCCCCTGGGTCCGCGGGGCACCCGGGGCAGCTCCGCAGGCCGGGTCCGGGGAAGGTGGTCGGGGCAGCTCCTTGGCGAAGGCTGCGGCCGCTTCTTCAGCTAACCTTAAACAGAGGCAGCTTCCTGGCAAAGTAAAGGAAGGAGGGGAGAGCCCTTGCACAGGCTGTAGTACCCGAGGCTTCTTACCTCTGCTTTTCTACATGTCCTTCCTATGTGTTTCTTTGCTGGGGAGAACTGAGCTGGCTGCCAGGCTTAAAAAAAAAAAAAAAAAAGAGAGAGAAAGACGCTCCTCAAAATAAAGCCCACAGCTTAAAGCCAATGCTAGTTATTTTTCAGAAGGGAGCAAGCCTCTTCGTCGCTTTATTTTTTAGAAGTAACTTTTTAAAGTACCTAATTCCTGGAGTCTCTGTGCAGGGGGATATAAACCAGTTAGGAAAACCAGACCATGCGTGTTATTTCCATTTTAATTCTCAGCCACTCATGTTCAATAAAGATTTACGATGGGCTTCTCCAGGCTCTGTGTCTTTTCTTACCCCTGAGCGCTACTGCTTTGGGCACTCGTTCTTATCCCTTCTGCACCTTCACGGGGTGGCTGCAGGTGTGCAGAGTAACAGATCCTATAAAATCCCTCCCTCCTGGGGAGCTCCTCACCTCACGCAAGCCCCCGAGCTGGAACAGAAACCCTCACAGACAGTGTCTCTTTTTGTACAATTGTTTATACAAATTCAACAAAGGTAAAACTGCATCAGGAAGGTCTACGAAAACAACACCTTACAACAATGGCACTTATGAATGCAAAATTTTACAATCAGGAAATAACCATGTTATAAACCTTAAATGAGAACTCAACTCACACTTCAAAGAAAGAGAGACTACGTTTGACCATTTATTCTACTGCTGGACTCACTGTATAAATTAATTTTATATTGAGTACAAGAGCTCATGCTACAGAGTGAAACCCTCCTATGTGCAAAAGCTGAAATTGGAATTTTTTAAAATTTTGAGAAAAAGGTGATTTCTATACAGATAAAACTTGGCAAAGTGTTTTACTTCAACTATAATTTACACCTTATTTCCACAACATGCTTATGTCACTTCTGAAGTATACAAAGCAGGATATAAACTTCCATTAAAACATGCTTTAAGTTGAAAGTATTAACCTACTTTTCCTGACCTGGGCACGTTTGTAGATAGATACTGTCTACGAAGTATAGGTTAAGTTCTCTCCTACCATAAGTAAAGATAAAAATTGGCAATCAAAACCGAAACACTGGTAATGCATTCAAACATTGCATAAATAATTTTTAAACAATTTTTGTACAAAAATAGTTCTGCATAATGTAAGATGTAACAAAACAAAATGTGTTAAGAAGGCAGAAATGCAGTGCGTGGTCCACTTTAATGACACCAACTTTTTCTGTTTAAGAAATGAAAAGCAGAAATCAAATTTACACTACCAAGCACATGCTGTGGTACTTTAAATAACAGTATTTCTTGGAGATCAGTCGTCTTCCGGGTGTGAACAATTATCAATAACAGTCGCCTTATGAGTTTGCATAAGAGCCAGTGCAGGACATCCCAGGTAGACTGAATTAGTGGCACAGGTTGAAATTCTTAACATGGGTAGTTTAATGTCGTTCTCTCCTTGACAAGAGTTGTAAAATCCAATCGCGATAGTTTCCAATATTCCAAGTTCCCAATTGAAAATAAAATCCCTACATGTTCTTAGGCCCTTCCCCCCTCCCCTCGCCCCAGTATTTACATGTGTCCTTTAACTAACTCAGTTTTTGCAGAAGTTTTTCTTCCACTTGCCCAAACTGAACGCTTACGGACATCTCCGCGATGAACTGCTCGCAGCCCTCCTTGGTCACCTGCTTGCAGTACCTCAGGTCGATCTGACAGATGTTTCCACAGCGTTTGAAGTAGGACAGGCACTGGTCAGTCACCTTATTGCAGTCTGCCAAGAAACCACAGCAAGAGAGATTTTAAAGCACCTCTTGACTGATCCACAGCCCGAGGGTGCTCTAGACCGACTGGGCTATGTCCTTTTGGCTCCCCCTTCACTGGCCCAATTCACGGCTGCGTTAACCTCCCGCCCCATGATAGCGTCTGATCCCCACCTTGTGTAACTGGTTAAGATGAAGTCCAACGCGCCAGAAAAAAAAAAAAAAACTTAAAAATCCCACACGGAGGAGTCAGGTGCAACACGTGGCCCTTAACAGGGACATCAGCTGCTTGGGGACAGGCTGGGCTGGGCAGCTGCAGGATATTAATTTTGCTCTGGCAAAACATGGAGTAACTGCAGAGCCTGACTACGGATAGGGGAATTACACTGGGAAGAGAAAGGGGATGGGTAAAAACCCTTCCACTAACGATCACTTCAGTTCCCTCCTCCTCCCCCCCTCCCTCACATTTGTGCTCCCCACCTGATAAATTAATTTCTGTTAACGAATCCCGCGTGGTGGTTCCGACTGCAGTCAGCAGGTTGATAGACTGATCTGTCACATGATTACAGTAACTAAGATTGAGTTTGGAAAGCAGGGGCATGTGCCGAATGATCAGTCGTAAAGAAGCATCCGTGATATCCAGACCAGCCAAACGCAGTTCAACGATGTTCCGTAGTTTACTCCGGTTGTCAATCTGACCTGGAAAAGGCGGGTGGGAGGTCGTTCACAAAAGCACCATCCACTGTCACAAACATCTGCACATCTATATGAAATGCACTGTAACACACAACGCTGCTGCCCTAAGTTAACTTCAGATGGTTTTGCCTGCCTGGGGCTTTGGAGGGGAGATCAGCAGGAACTTGTATATTTTTGGCACAGGCTCGTGGAGAAACCCACCTCCTGATATCCAAACAGAGGGAGAGAAGTAACTGCAGGGACCCAGCAGAATTACTAGTCAGGAGTAAGCAGTAGGCTGTGCAGTGCATGCCAGAAAGCAGATCTGATTTGCTCAAAATTTCACCTGAGCTGATATCCGGGCGAATGGGGCATGACCCACAGAACTGCTCCTTCCCTGAACTGGAAGAAAGTGTTTCCATACTCTCTAAAGTACACCCGTTGCAGCCTGAAGAGAAGAAAGTCAGACAGAAAACCAGCACAGTGGCTAAGATGCCTGTTCAAGCAGCCAGAGAACACAACTTGTCACCCGGTGGCTTCCAGCAAGGTGTTGCTGGTCACTGCTGCAAACACCTCGCGCACATCCGAGCCCAGACCCCAGCCCGCGCTGCCGCAGGGATTCCTGCTCGTTTCCTGCATGAGGGACTAGCAGCACAAGCGGCCCCGGGGCGAGCGCGCCGCGGCCTCCCGCGCACCCCCGCCGCGTTACCTGGCCGGTTATCTGTGGGTGGTGACAAGAGGTCTCGCATTTGTGCGTCTTTCAATCCTTCCGCCCACTGCACATCCAGGGTTCGGAGTAAAGGACAACTGGAACTACAAAGTGCCGACACTGCTATCCATGAGCACCCTGATAACAGCAGGTCTCGGAGACCTGCAGATACAGAAGGAATTGGAGCACCCGGAGAGACGCACGCGGTGACTTCGGCTCCCCCGCGCAGCTGATTCCCCCCGTGCCCGATGCTGCTCCGACGGACAACCCGGCACGCCAGGGCAAGCAGGGACACGCAGGAGCCTCCTCCCACCCGCTCTCGCCCACGGACAGGAGCCCTGTTACTGCGCTGGAAACAGCTCCCCAGCACCCCCTCGACCGCACAACCTGCCCTTGGGGCTACCTTGGGTGCTGCCCACAACCCACCTGCAGACCAAGACCTGCCCCACGCTCCTGTCCCTGAGAAAGTCGTGACATAACTCGTTTCTGGCCCCTCTTCACCTGCTGACACTTCCTTCCTACCCATCCGCTTCTCTCCTAGGACACTTGGACCCCCTTAGA